TTACTTCTGTGTGGCTCTTAGAAATGTGTTAAATACTCTTGAATAGTGATTTTGTTCATGTGATATTTTGTTGGGGGGATTTTGCTCGCTGGCTGCTTTTGAGCTGTTGATGAATTTCGCGTGGGATAATCACGCTGATTTTACTAATAGAGTGCATCATGATGCCTAGTGGGGCCTCGATGTCCCACCGGACAGGGAGACAGCAGATGCAACATATTTCTCCTTTGTTGTATAGTCTTCCCCCAGCCTTCTGGCCTTCAATTATTGATGAAAGTGTATCGGATTCCGGATCTGAATCATCGAGATTTTCAGCAGCCGTCTCTTCGGAGGGTTGTGGATCAGATTCCGATTCTGAAGGTAATGCATTACTGTGTAACTCGTGAAAATTTAAAATATGTAATTTTAAATTCTTTAATTTAAAATACTGTTGTAATTATAATGATATTTCGCCCCACCACTTATGAAGCGTTGTCATTATCACAGCACAACAAACGTGTGTAATATTTAGAAAAAATTGAGTTCATTCCTAATTTATACCATTTAGTTGTATAAAATTAAAACATACATGCCATTACATAAAATTAAATTTGTGTAACTGTATGAAGTATTTCTGTGATAATTATGCATGTATTATTTGTTCAAGTAATTTGAAGAGTATAGTGTTATGAGATTTTTTTTTTTTTTAAATATTTGACTTAATTTTTATGGCAGTAGTTTTTGTTTTAAATATAATAAATAAATGTAGAATATGAAATACAACTTTTTTTTTTTTTAAATTTAACGTAATGTTTTCACGTTAACTCGGATTACTTAATTTTTGAAGACTTTGTTTGTGGAGAATAATTCAGGCGTGGAGGAATTCGGTCACTTCTTCACTGTGTAAAATCAAAATCTGATAGGTTTAGTTACAGTAACAACTTAACATTATGCTCTTAGATTAATTTATTTCACCCCCCCCCTAAAATCAATTTTTGTAAAATCGGTACATACTTTATTTATTATCGTATACGGTACTTTTTGTAGATGTTAAGAAGTGCTAGTGTATGTTGTCACCAAATGTGTGGAAACATATTTTGTATGTGAAAGGGGGCCATAGTTTGCATAACTTTCATAAGGTATCCTCTGTTCTAAACCTTAAATTAACACTCCCTGATAATTCATTAATAGACTTAATATCAGTGTGAAATAACGAAATATTATATAAATTACCTGTATGGTTAAATAAAAAAAAATCCATTAATCAAATAATTGTTTTAAACATTCATTTGTGTACATTGTAATCTGTTATTCCATGCAAATTATGTAAAAGCATGAGGGAGCTTTCTTAACATTTGAATTTAACTTGGACTTGTAGCATCTTGCACAAAAAGTGTATTATTTCTGTATATTAGACTAATTACATAATTAAACATTTTGTTAAGTCTCTTTTGAGTTTTAGAAATAAATTTTAAAAATATCCAATGAAAGAATAATAGTGACATGTACTACAATCAATAGTATTGTACGTTATAGTAATATTACATTTTGTGCAAAATCAAATTGTCTGCAAAGTATAAGAAAATTTAACTGTGTTATTATATTTGTCATCTGAAACTTCACATCATTCGTTAGATTTATTTAAGCAACTTAAATATTTCTATATTTATACAATGCATAGTTTAAAATACTTAAGTCAAATGAATATTCATTTGAACATTCCACTAGATATGAACTCCATTTAACTTTCCGGCTTGGAATATGACGAGCTGGTATCACGTGACTTTAATGACGTCAGATATCGCCAAATAATGTTTACCTCCTGTGTTTCGCCAACCAAGCCGTAATCGGCCAATCTGGGGTCGCGATGGATTGTTTATCTTTTCTCCAGGCAGAAAATTTAAACTTTTGTAGAAGAGCATGCATAAAATCAATGCGAAAGGTGACTGCTTGAGAGCGGATCAATTATAAATTATTGCAATATAAAAAAGAAACAGTTCTTGGAAAATAAACGTTTAAAACATAGCTTAAATTGCTCCGGTACTTCTTACTTTTCGAGATATATTATAATTTTAGGGGGAGCGCATCAGAGCCCTAAACAAAAGGGCTCTGTCGCCCTTTTATTATGTAAGTGAACCACAATTTTAGCAGATAAATTTTGGTTTAATTTAAACGTGCCTTAAAAATTGATTCTAACTTCCGAATGCAGGCTGTCTTTCCTTAGCACTCAAACCTTGCACAAAGTTTGAGACCTTTAAAGGAAGGAAAAGCCCCCAATCATATATCAAAGGTTCATTCTCCAGGATATGCAATGAATTTATAAAAGCGAGTAAATTTTGTGTTCCTGAAAGTACTAAAAGTGATACCCTGGTCTTGTATATTCCATGCTAGTGAGCAGAGATCTAATAGAGTTTTTGAATGATGTAACCAAATGGGGGGGGATCACTGCTCTCACTTGTACGGAGGAATGCTACATTTATTCTCATGCTATTATCCAATCATATTCATTCTTTTTGACAGTTAAAATTATATCGACAGGGCATCGTGATCAAAAAGTCTTGAACTCTTTCCTCTTTATTTTTAAAGCTGCACTTTTCTGTTAAAGTTTCCTTCCATATCCTCATACTGTTTCTAGAGTTGTCAATATTCCCCTTTGTGATGCTTTAATCATTTTATCTTTTTCCATTAGTGTTCTGCAAAAAAGGAATGGCGTTTGTATTTGTCATGCCTTGAGATAGTGCATTATACATATAATCAGGACTTAAATTCAGATGGAGACCGGCTGAGCTGCATTTTAGCTTCTGTGTGGAATTCTTATTCCAGACGGATCCCCAAATATGACGATATCCAATAATTTTTTTAATTTAACAATAAGAAAATAATTTCATAATTTATTAGATTTCTGTTTATTTCTTTACATTTCTTTTAATTTAAATTTAATTACTCAATTTAAAAACAATATATTTTTTATTTTTTTGTTCCTCAGTTTTTCTTTGTTCCTGAGTCTTCTGTAGGGCTTTGGTGCTTCTAATTTTAGAAATTAAACCCTGATTTAAAAGTTGTATGGTGAGTGGCTTATATAAGAATAAAACTGTCTTTAACCAAGTGTAATTTTCTCATCTATTGTTATTTATGGCCTGCATAGGCTGGCGGCTTGAGGATTTCAATGTTTTTCTTTAACATTACAGGAAGACCAGCCAAGTTGCCTGAGGAAGTCTTAGGTCGTACAGTGCTTTGCTTACTCGCATCTTTTTTTAAATTATTTGAAAATCATAAAAGCCATTAAGATGAAAAGCTAATAAAAATTTTCTAAATAAATAATAAAATTTAAAAAAAAAATTTATCAATTTAAGAAAACTTGTTTTCGATTGGTTTCATTTATTTTCATGAAAATATATCAATCTAAGTGAACTTATTTTCTAATCTTTAAACATGCATTATTATATGGGCATTACAATTGAAGCTGAATTGGGATGCTTTCGATATGCCAAATAATTTTCTCTAGAAATGTATGTAGAGAGATTAAGTTAAATAAGAAATGAACAGGCAAAAGAAAAACAAGTAAGAGAATAAAGAATCATTTATTAAGTGAGCAAATAATAGCAACTTGGTGGTTCCAGGGGGGGGGAAATAGCATTAACTTATTTTAATTGTTGTAGAATTTTTCTGAATACAAGAAATTTCTCGCATAAACAGAGCCGGTGTTGCTGTACCGGGCTGCAGAAATTTTAGGATTTAGGGAGGCACAGAGATTGTACTAGAGAGCAAAAAGCCTAGCCCAATATCCTGTACTAACCTAAAGGTTAGTTATTTCAGTAAACAAAGCACACAAAATAGTATGATGCACCCCGAGACCTTGGGCCCCGGGGTGCATCAGCATATCCCCTCGGCAAGTGGTCAGCTTGTTGCAGGAGCCCTGGTGTTTAGCCCCCAAGCGAAATTGGTACTCATTTTATCAACCCACTCAAGGGATGAAAGGCTGAGTCAACCTTGCCCGGAGATCAAACTCCGGACCTGTGGTGCATTTGCGCACCATGTTAGTCACTGGGTAACATGGTGCCACTGGGTGGTAAGAACAGTAGTATAGTTGCAAGTTTAATTGAGAGATGTCAGTAAGCAGAGTTGGTGCACGTATCTTTCTATAGAAAATTGTGTGGTATGTTGTCCCATAGCAGAAAAGATCCCTGAATTCATTTTGTAATGAATTTTGAAGTAAAACGTCTTTAGACACTATAATATAGAAGGGAGAAAACAATTATTTATTTTGTACCTAGTAGTTTCTTTTCCTTTTCCTTTCTCCCCCCCCCCTAAAAAAGGTTAGTCTCATAAATTAATTCAGCTGGTTATTAGGCAGAAATTTAGATATAACTATTTTTCCAGCTTTCTGTTAGCTGATCATGAGTATCATACAATTAATACAGTCATAATATTTCAACTGAAATATTATGACTATAATTGTAGAGCCTATAAATTTTCTGAGCAGTTCAGAACTGGACTTGGAACTGTAATGTCATCAGGGTAGTTATATAATATCTACAGTCTGTATGTATGTACAGTGTGCTTTTGTTTGTTATGTTGAAAGAGTTAGCTGCAAGACAGAAAGTATTTTATGAAATTTATTTCAGATTATGCAAATTTCTCTGATTTGCATATAAAGAATTATGAATTGTTTATTCTGCAATTACATGTGTAGCCTGAAATGCTTTCTTTTTCTGTTGTAAATGTTTTATAACAACATGTAAATTCTTTGAGTGAAAATATGCATTTTGCTTTCTTCTAACATTCTGCTTGCCATCTAAATCAGAAATTTTGTATCTGCTTTCATTAGTAAATGTTACGATTCCAAAAATTTTGACACTGTGACTGTCAGCAAACAGCATTGTACCTACATTAAACATTATAAGCTAATTTTTAGATTATTATTTGTAAACTAGACTTAATATATAGTATTTTTTATTCCTTTTTTTGTATAGTTTCTTCAAATGTACTGAGAGGTATTTACTTAAGATATATATATATTTTAGGTGATATAACCCAGAAAGGATATGAAAAGAAAAGAGCAAAATTACTGGCTCCTTATATGCCAGCTCGTAGTGCAGGTAATGTGTTCATACTGTTTTTTTCTTCATTTTCAAATTTTTAGTTATTGTCAGCATTTTCTGTTGATGTTAAGTAAAATATTCTTGTAAATAAAAATTTGCATCACATGCTGAAACAGTGTAGTTTAAGCACAATAAGTATGTTTCAGCATTTCTCAAATATTTTGACAAATACAGTAGAAAGCTATATGAAGCCAAAGTGAAGAGCTATCTAAATAGTTGCACAATGTCATGCATTGAAATTATATTAAAAAGACTTTACTGTAATATCTCAATTTATTCTCACTTGTCATTTTTGAGATCTTCTGGCATATAACATGCACCTATAGTTCCAAACTATATTTTTAAAGGTAAAAGTATATTTTAGGGTACCCCTTGGTGAAACTTGACGATTTTTGGTGGTACATGGATACTGAGTTTGTGCAATTGTTTGGCTCGTTATTTTGGCTTGCGTAGGGGCAAAAATCGCTGCTACACAAAGCCAAAATAACAAGACAAAGAATTGCACAAACTCGGTATCCATGTACACATCGACTATTTTCACTTAAAAAAAGCCCAGAATTGCACAAAAATGGCATTGCGAACTCTCTTGACTTTATCCTACACATCGACCTATTTTCACTTAAAAAAAAAATCAGTAACTTTCACAAACTAGGCTTTGCACACTCCCTTGACTTTGTCCACGTATACATCGAACTAATATTCAAAAGAAGCAAAACAAAAAAATATATAATCTTAATAAACTGTATTTTGAATCAAACAATGAAATTACATAAAAAAGGAAATATCGATTTATCCACTTACCTTATTTAGAAATTTTTCTGACTTCAGTCTGTGGCACACAAAATTCCTTAACAGCATCCAAAAATTTAAAAAAAATATCTGAACTAGAATATGTACATATTGCCATTGCCACATAAATTAAAAAAATAAGAGTAAAAAATCCGTTCGAAAATATCTGATTTTCGACCATACACATTTTCTTCCTCCAAACAGGACACTTAATAATGGCTACTAAGTAAACCTTCATTTACACACCAGTCAATTAATGTTTTTTTCCCTTTCATTCCAAATCCTATGGAAACTCAGCCAATTTACTGTGTAAACCACAAAATAACAACATACTAATCCATAACACACACAAGCTCTTATTCAAAATTCAACACAAACTTTCCAAATTTTTTCCTATGATTCAAATTTGCCGCATCCGATTACGTCATAATAGGGTTTCCATAGACTTCAACTACTCAGGTTGTCATAAATGAGACAACAACTTGGTGATAAATGAAACAACAATTTCGCGATAATACAAGAGGTACCTTAAAGTCAGCTCTAACCTTTTTTAATTTTAGGTGTATTCGCCATATAACATGCACCTTTTTCTTTACAAAGAAACATGAAAGATATATGTGCAATGCTTTTATATTTTGAAATTATTAATTCAAAGCTTTCCCTCAGGCTTTGATCAATGGTGTACTGAATTGACAAGAGGTTGGGGGGATGTGTATACACAAAAGGCTTGAGGGAATAAATAATTCTGCAAAGAAGGTGGGTTGTATACAATGCAGCTGTGCACAAGAATGCTATTCTAATGTTTCAAGAAAAGGAAGATATAATTTTAAGAATGCACTTCTGACCCAAATGAATTCGCAGAATCGGGAGTCATGTCTTCTCTCTCTTTCTGTAGTCATTTGAAGCAGTGATTTTTAAGGCTTGAAACAAGTCAATGCTGAGTTCAAATACAAGGCATTCAGTTTTTCAAAGAAAATGAAAATCATATTGCAGCAAGGATGTTTTGTATTGACAAAAGCTCTTATGAGTGGAAGAAAAATGAAATTGCAATCGAAATCAGTGCTAAAAAATAAATGTGCTCTGGATAAAGGAGTAATGAAATGGCCTATCCTAGAGAAAGTGCTGTGAACTGGGTGTGAGAAAATTACCAGATTGGATTAACTGTAACAAGAAACAGCCTGTTTACCTTAAAATAGGCAAAGGAGAATACAAATGAAAGTAACAATTTTAAAGCAACTTTGAGTTGGTGTAGTCGATTAATGGCATGGAATAATATAGTTCTGTGAGAAGAAAAAAAAAAAAAAAAAAAGTTTTGCATGGCTTCTAAAAGATTTGAACAACTAACTGAAAAGTTTCCATGTTATTGATGCCATATTACTACAGTAGTCCAGAAATCTGCAAAGCTTGGGACCAGAGGTTGTGCAAATTTTAGGATTTTGTGGATTTCAGGACAGAAAAGATAAATCATAATATTCAGACTAAAAGTGCAAAATAAATAAGGCGTATTAGATACATTTAATTAAATTATTATATACATTATTGCAATAACTTATTATATGCATTAAATTATTATTACATACACTGGTTATCATAAATTAAGGAAAAATCACGATTACTGAAAAAGTTACATGTAGAATTTAATGAAACTTACCCACAATATACAACACATTGTAAGGTATCAAATAACATAAAAAGAAATTACCAGACAAATATGGTAGTATAGAAATTAACAGATGTGTAAAATGAACAAATCGAAGGTGTCAGTTTGCTATAGGAAAAGTACCTTCAATATGGAATATGATCGCCTCTAGAAGCAATACAGCACATACAGCGATGTGTGATGCTTTGAATTATGCGGTCTATCAGTTCCATAGGAAGCGAGAGCCATTGCTCTTGCAAAGCAGTTGCAAGCTCGACAAGGGTTTGAGGGGGTGGATTGAGAGCAGCTAGACGTCTCCATAAAGTATCCCAAACGTGTTCGATAGGATTCGAGTCCGTGGATCGAGCTGGCTACTCCATGCGCATAATTGTTTCCTGTTGAAGATAATCATCTATGATGCGAGCCCTGTGTGGTCTTGTGTTGTCGTCCTGTAACAGAAAAGCATCACCTATTGCCCCACCATATGGGTGCACATAAACATCAAGATGTCATCTCTATAAATCTGAACAAAACAAAAACAAAAAAATCTAGATAGCAAAAATGTAAAGTTTCTAACCAAAAATATTTGTCAAGAATCCATGTACACAGTGATATGTTTTAACTTAACAGCTTAAAAAAATGTATGCAGCGAAGGAATCTATGAACTATGCACACCAAGTTTAAATAAATTAACATAACAATAAGTTTCAAAGAATGCCATGTGCACAGCATTCTGTTTAAACTTTAAAAAACATCTATGAATTGCACAATCTAGGCATAATCAACAAAATAAACTAAATTTTAAACGATTCAAAAAAAAAAAAATAACTGCAGAAATTCATTCTAAAAAAACAATGAACATAACATTCTACAAAATAAGAACAAGAATAAAATAAAATGCTCTTGCCATGAACGAATGCTTCTTCGAACAGCAGAAAAACCAATTTCAAACGTCACCAAAACAATTTCACCACAAATTTGCTGAAAGCATTTTCTCCCATTTCAGAACAACGATCGAAAAATATATAAACCACAAAATAAAATTCAAAATCACATTTCTGATTATAAGTAGGCAATGTAGCTTTAACATTCTGCCAGAAAGTCATAGTTTGTGACATGTTTAGAATACAAAGAAATTGTTGAAAGAGACAGACAGACATGACAATTATTCTGGGCTTATTAATGCCTTTAGTTCAGCGATTAGATGCGTTTGTCAGTAAATCATTCAAGGAAAATTTAAAACGACAGGGGAATATGTGGATAATAGAAGGTGAAAAACAGTTACAGAAAGAGGCCAAATGCATCATGCCAGTTTAGAAATAGTGTATGAGTGGATAATAAGTCATTTAAAAATTGTAGTATATTGAACAATCTAGAGGGAATGGAACATGATTATTTATCTGTGAATCAGAGTAACAGTGATGGTGAAGACGAAATAGAATTTGGTGATGTGCCTGAAAGACGAGTATGACAAAATTTTCATACTTTCTTGATAATCAAAGTTTTTTTAGTTCATAAGGGGTGTAATTTCTTTTAAAATAAACAGCATTTAGGTACATGCAGAAATCTAAATTTTTTATGTTTATCTTTTCTTTATTTTTAAATCTATCATTTTTATATCTGGCATATGATGCATATCTATAAATTTCAATCTTAATTTTTGTATTATATTCAAAGCATATTTTGCACATATATCTAGCTCAAGTTCACATACTGTTTATTAATAATACAACTAATAAAAATTAAGATTTAGGGAATTGTGGGATAATGTTCTTAAGTTGTTTTTGAGGTTCCAAATGGTTAGAGACTCTTGCAATGTAATACATTCCTTGGAAATGGTTAAAATCCATTGTTCATTTAATTATCTCATCACAAAGAAGGTTGCCCAGGGGGCAAGTGCATTAATCCTGTGAGAAAGGGGAAACTGTGCCTCAGGAATTCTGGGGATCTCTTACCCCTTTTCCCTTCATCAATCTCTTGAAGTAACTCTTCAGCTTGACGTTATTTTAAATGCCTGCATGCTGCTGCAAAGACATTATACACTTACAAATGTCCATGTATTAACCAGGATTTGAGCTTGGGCCCAAGGCTTTCTCAGGTTATTTTCCATGACATTTTCATTGAATTACTAGCATTGGTAATGTTTAAAAGACTAAGACTTTTTTTTTTTTTTTTTTCATATCTTAAATCTATATATGTTGGGGAATTGAAAAATGCATTTTTCCTTTCTTGAAAATAATTTTTGATATAGATTTTTATCATGAGAAACTAAGTTTCCAGAAAAACCAATTTCAAATGTTATCACCAAAAGAATTTTTTTAAAAATAAATTTCAGTTGAATTACAGTTAATTTCTATTTATTGCATTATATAAAATGTAAAATATATAAAATTTAAGAAAATATAAAGCACTGAAGAAAAAATACCTTAGAAATGCAGTTTAGTATGATAGAGTTCAAAACAGGGTTCAAGGCACAGCCTAACTTCACAGTCTTTGCAGATTCAATAAATCTAATTAATAATTAATCTAATCAATAAATCTAATTAATAATTCAATAATTTAAATTCCT